TGAGGGAGGCGGATGCAACCGGGAGCCACGAAACGAGCTAAAACGGTAACGGGGCAAATGCGTCCCGTATAAGTTTGCGCATTAAAAGTGCTTTTTTTCGCCACTGACCGGTTCAGATCGCCAGTGCTATGAGTGCTATGAGTGGAGTCAGCTGTCAGTCAGTGTTGGAGCAGAGAGGGGGAGGGCAGCCCCGCTGGGTACTGTAAGTGAGTATGTGTGTGTGAAGTGTGTGTTACGCTAGAAGAGTCAGAGGACAGAGTCTTTTACGTGCTACCCCCTGGAGTGTTACCGGAGTTTTTGGAGTGCTCAAATAAACGGGACTTTTTCCCGAACACAAGAGCAGGATGTCGCGCAGCACCCCGTACAGCTTTCATAGGCTGCCTTTGTCGGACAGCGAGATGCTAAAGTTGTGGCTAGTTGTGCTACAAATGGATGCTAACACTCCTGTCCAGACACTGCGCCTTGCAGACAATCGGGTCTGCAGTGCTCACTTCTCCTAAGATGACTACTGCCAGCCGAAGAAGAGAAGACATCCAATCCCGAAACACCTCTTCCTCAAGAAAACGGCTGTCCCACAAGTAGAGAGAGCTACAGACATAGTGGAGCAAAGCTCGTGACGTCACACAGCCCGGAGGTAAGGGAAATGCTAGTATGCTATTTACAGAGATAGCACTGGCCATCTGAACCTGTCAGTGGCGAAAAAACACACACTTCATACACACATACTCACTTACAGTACCCAGAGGGGCCGCCCTCCCCTCTCTGCTCCAACACTGACTGACAGCTGACTCCACTCATAGCACTCATAGCACTGGCGATCTGAACCGGTCAATGGTGAAAAATAGCACTTTTAATGCACAAACTTATACGGGACGCATTTGCCCCCGTTACCGTTTTAGCTCGTTTCGCGGCTCCGGCTGCATCTGCCTCCCTCAATACTGAACCAGTTTTAGAACGAGTTGTACCCATGAATCATACGCACGCATACACATGGGAAAATAGGGCCCAGGTTGAAAAATACCGAAGTTGTCCTTTAAGAAAGCATCAAAGTAAAACAGCGGAGGAACAAAACTCTTTGAACAGGTCACAAACAGACTGTGTGCAACTCAATTGCAATAATAAATGTTGGCATTGTAAGTTTCTGCACACTTATTGTTAGGAAAAGGTCATGTTTTGGCTTAAAATACCCAGTTTTGGTGCCACAGTCACAGCTGGAAATGCTGGGATGAGTTGCTAAATAACAATTGGATGCCAGTTAACCTTAGAATTGATTTTAAGATTCTTTTGATAACTTTTAAAGCTCAACATGGTTTAGCGCCGCATTAAATAGCTGAGCTTCTGACTACCTGCTCCAAGTCGTGACCTGAGATCCTCAAGCCTCCCCTCACTAGTCGTCCCTAGATCAAGGCTGGTAACTGGAGGTGACCTGGCTTTTGCCATCAAGGCCCCAAGGCTCTGAAATTCTTTGCTTGAGGGGATAAGGCTGGCTAACATTACACGTTTTTAAATCATTGCTTAAAACATATTTTCATGGGAAAAATTTCCCCTTTAATGCCTAATTTGTACTTTTGTTTTTTGTAACGTGTGTTTTATTTCCTTTGTATTTATAAACCTTGTTTAGCTAAGTGCCATATAAACATATATTATTATTATTATTATTATTATTATTATTATTATTATTTCATATAATATTGTTATTTGTTGGTCTCTAAAGCTCCGTTCAGACCAAAGATTCGTGAGGAGAACAGTTGAAATTCGCAACTGCTGGGGCGTTGGTAGCTTAGTGGTAGAGCAGGTGCCCCATGTACAAGGCTGTTGCTGCAGCCTGTGGCCCTTTGCTGCATGTCTCTCCCTCTCACTCCCCCCTTCACGCTTGACTGTCCTATTGATTAAAGGCAAAATGCCCCAAAAAGTATCTTTAAAAAAAAATAAAATAAAGAAATTTGCACCTGCTCACAATGCGCCGTTCTGCAATTTTCTGAAAACCTGCCAGTTTACACCAATGAGACATGACGAGACATCTCCATAGCAATGACTCTCAGTTAGTTTGTAGCTTCTTAAAATATGAATGAGGATAGTGATAGTGAGATACTTGCTTCAGCTTCAGATGGATCATATTCCCAAATATGCCACAATAACTTAAGTTACCAGCGCTCATTGTGTGTGTGACATTCAGCGAGCAGCAGCAGCTACCCAGCATCCAACACCAACACACTGTGAGGACAGAGACCAACACACATGTCAGCAGCTGCAGGAATGTAAATGAGACAGACTTGGCTTTGGTGTGATGGAGGGCTGTTGTCAGAGAATGCCAGCAAGTGAACACAACTTGGCCAGCAGACTTGGCTACAAGCCGACTGCCTGTTCAAACAGGTGATGTGCCTTAGTTCTAAAACCAGCCGCTGGCGACTTGACAAGCTGAGTCACAGGTGACACCATCAACTGGCTTGAGTTGAGTTTAGACTAGTAAATTCACACTGCTGCAACTTACGTCTGTAAACCAGGATTTCCCCACACTTTCATTTGTTTGTGGTACTACATTGTCGAGGCTGAACACACTCAGGGCAGAGATAGAGCAACAGAACATCAGGCACATTGAAAGTGAAACATAACTGTTTATCCTACTGAGTCTAAACGTTTGCATTCACTCGCAGCAGCTGCTCCTCTTATCCATAGATCTGATCTGATCAGCTCTGAAAGGTGGGACAGATCAATTATCAACCCCACTACCCAGATAGCACACATACATCTGGCCGACGTCGGCCCGATGTATCAAGTTTAGATCGTTAATCAAAAATGACCATGCGATGTTCAAACGATCAATAAAAAGCTGCGCTCAGTGGAAGCTCCTTTATTAATATTCATATGCTTCGTTAACTACGACCTATATTCATTTAGATCGGACCTTTCAAACTACAAATATTTCACCATCCAATGTGAGAAATCAATGCTAACATTCAAAAATAGCTGACTGTTACCCTATTTTGTGTGTAAGTGTGCACAATGAAGAGACAAAAGTCAATTTGACAAACTTTATTTTCAAATTTCCACATATCTGGCCAGTCCGCTTCTCCTGGCAGCCTGCAAGAGACAGAAAAGATGAGGAGCACGTAACTTCAAGAAACAAATCCCAACTTCACCACTGTATTTTTTTTTTAGCATTTCAGCTGTCTTTTACCCAGATTGAAGGCTTTGGGTCCGTCACTCTCCTTAATTTTGTGTTAAAATGGTTAAATAACGGGATCCGGCGTTAACTCTGTTAACTGTTAACAGCAGCTCAACAATCAGTCCTTCATCTCGGAAAAACAGTGGTTTCAAAACTGCGCTATTTCCTGTAGCCACCGGGGCGGTTTGCTTAGCAGAGGAGGAGACCTCGACTGATAAATTGCCCATAAAGACCTCCACGCTCCTCTCCGCTCTTCTTACCCACACTTGAGCACCCGTCCAGGGCCCCGGAGGTCAGGCCGGGGGGGCGCGGGACCACGGGTAGCAGCTCTGGGCACTTCCACTTTAACCTAAAAGGAATTCCGCGTTCAGTGGCGACTTCCATATGTGGGCAGACATTCTACGGCACTGGACTGACCAAAAGCCAATGTAACAGACACGTTTGATGAGCTAGGACAAAAGAGTATTAAATTTAAAGATATCCGCCCATGCGGCAGACGTTTGTCAGATGTTATAAATTCAGGGCCAATGTGTCGTCCTCAGGCCGACGTCAGCCAGATGTATGTGTGCTATCTGGGTAGTCACAAACTGCTCATGGTGAGCTCCACCAGTGCTGTGTTCATGGACCCCCCATCATCAGCTACTGCAACACATACACTCAATTCTGTGGGAAACACTGTAGCGTTCTGAAATGGTTTTGTCTCAACATAAATCTTTGGTCTGATCTGGGCTTAACAGTGGTCTGCAGCTTGGCAGCCATCAACCTCAGGTGTCATGCCTGTCATGCCAGCCACCATCCCCTCCACCTCCTTGATAGCAAAGTCAGCTCATGTACATGCAATAATAACTACGTCACTTCAGAAATGATATGATAGTATGAAATGTACAAATGTAACGCATCCCTGTGTAAAGGGTTACCAACCAAAAAAGTTCAGCAATCACTGGACTTGACTTTGGATGATTCACCGAAAAACAATCCAATAGCAGTGCAGCTGCCCGGTCCACCACTTTGGCCCAGACTGAAACATATCATCACATGTCAACAGCCGTTGAATGGATTGCTGTGTAATTTCGTGCAGATGTTCATAGTGCCCAGATGATGTATCCTAATGACTTTGGTGAACCTTTGACTTTTCCTCTCTTTAGAACCGATACAAGAAAAACGACAAACACGTAATTTTCTACTCCCGTTTTTGGAGTATGTGATACTCTGACCTCGGCTGAGCTCCACATTTTGGTGGCCACAAAACAACTCGATGACCTCATGCTACGGGACGTGTGGTTGCTCCGCAGCCAGCATAGTCCTCCACACTGCACGTACTATATATAAACATCTGCATCCGTGACACTTCTTATCACCTGTCCTGCATCTCTGTGGTTTTTTTGTCTGGGACCTCCGCGAAGTGCTCTCGCTATGCCTGGTTCCCCCCGCTTGTACCTCTGCCACAGGAATGACCCTGAAGAATGCCTTTGACAAGTGTATCGCAGATGCTGCCTTTTGTTGCCCGACGGGGGCTGTTTGCATGAATGTATGAACCGACAAGCCGACACTGGCCACGCTAGCTGGCAGCAAACACAGGTCTTGTACTGAAGCAGCAACAAACACGCCGTCTTCATGCATTGAGGACGTGATTTATGTGACATGTCGGCTTGCTCAGGGGCCCACTGGCCTGTTTTTATTTTTACAGTATCTGGACAATTGTGAATGTATAGACATCATATTGCCCGCATGTTGTGTCTTTAGTTTATGTTAACCTTTTCAAGGGGAGGAGGAAAGTTGACAGAGTGAAGCCTTGTTCTTGTTCTTACATTCCTCTCTTTCTGTCTACCTCCAGGTGGGACCAGATTGAGGGTTTGGAGGAAGGATAGACAGGAGATTACCTCTGTAATGTCAGCAAAGGCCAAGGTTTGTCATAAACACGCACTGTTGCCAAAAGAGCACCTTGAACATTTCCTTTATTTTTATTTTTATTCTGCTCTTTCTTCCTCATATTGTCTGTCACTCCTTCTTCCCTCCATCTCCGTCTTTTCCTCACTCTTCGTATTTGCCGATCTTGCCTTATAATGAAATTACCATCTCTGCAAATAGCCCAGCCTTATCATTTTTCATTTCCACTGTACAGACCACTATAAACCAGAGGATGACTTATGTGTAGGTATAAATTGTTAATGAAATCCATCCCCACAAGGCTCAGGACGGAGCTTTCCATAAAGCCGTGTCAGCGCCGAAGCTTTCAGTGCTGAATTCTAAACCAGTGGACGGAGCTTGAGCCAGGGCGGAAAGAAAGCAGACTTATTTGACTCGCGTATTACTGAAGAGTGAGATAACTTTTGATGAAAGGGGCTTAACACAAAGTCCCGCTGCAGCTTGTTTGAAGGGCTTTTGAAGGGCTGTGTGTTTTATATGCTTTTATGAGTATTATCTCATTTTCTTTATCTGTTTTCATATCTGCAAAGCACTCTGTCAACTAAGTTTTGTTATGAAGTACATGGTCGCCATGAAAGCAAAAGACCAAACAGCCTTTTCCTCTGGCGGTGACCATCTTGTCTTTGTTTAAAAAGAGAAAAAAAAGAAGAAGAAGAGAGCTCAAGGCGGACAGCTGAACTGTACATCACTCTGTAGTTTCTAGAAACAGCTGAGAGCAATGTGCCATCAGAAATCTACTGTGAGGAGTATTTTGATGTTTTTGGCATATTCCCTTTTTTGCTTTCTTGCTGATGAGAGAGATATCACTGTCATGTCAGTCAGCAGGTGCTTAGCTTGGCAAAAAGACTGAAAACTGAGGGAAGCAGAGCGCCTGGCTCCGTCCACAGGTTAATAAAAATACAACTACCGACATCTCTAAAGCTCTTGTTTGCTAAACATAACAATCTAGACAGGAGAGCTGTACGCCACTCTAATTCTTTCCTCCTAGAAGTACTTTATGAATCTACGGAAGCCCTGAGAGGCAAGAGAGGGAACAAATTAGGGTTATCAATTGTTTTCTCTACTGTGTTTATGACTGCGTAACAGGTGAAAAGAGGTTTTGTCAGGATAAAAGTTGCTTTTTTAATCTGTGAAAACAAGCTTTTTTCAGGATCAGTGTAATACTCATTTTGGCCACACGAGACAAGTTGAAACAGGCAACTACTTCCAACGTGCCGTCCTGCAACGTTCTAAAACCTGCTGGTTCACACCAATGCAACTAGAAGAGTATTAACCCAAAAGCTTAAAAAAAACGGTGGCACGGTGGTACAGTGGTTAGCACTGTCACCTCAAGAGGGTTCCTGGTTCAAACCTGGGGTGGGGGAGCCCTAGTGTGCAGAGTTTGCATGTTCTCCCTGTGTCAGTGTGGGTTTTCTCTGGGTACTCCAGCTTCCTCCCACAGTCCAAAGACATGCAGGTTAATTGGTGACTCTAAATTGTCCGTAGGTGTGAATGTGAGTGTGAATGGTTGTCTGTCTCTGTGTGTCAGCCCTGTGATAGTTTGGTGACCTGTCCAGGGTGTACCCTGCCTCTCGCCCAATGTCAGCTGGGATAGGCTCCAGCCCCCCCACGACCCCTAACAGGATAAGCGGTAACAGAAAATGAATGACTGAACTCAGAGTAGAGATCCTGACAAAAGGTTTTTTTAACCTACCAAAACCTTTTTTCCACCTGTTTCACAGATGAAAAAAGAAGAAGGAACTACAAAAGATTTTCCTGGCTTCATAAACACAGGAGAGAAAATGATTTAGATCAGACCCAGAAAATCGATCTCAAGATTTTTTCCTCACTTGCCTCTCAGAGCGTCCATATAAGATTAATATTTCCAATGGATCAAATCAGTATGTGAAAAAAGCTACTCCATTTCAGTAGTTAGAGTACTTTTAATTAGTTACTTTCCATGTCCTCAGCTTCATTTGTTATTCAAACTTTTAGCACGCAAGAAACTCAGTTAAACAAATCCCTCAGATTTCTTTTTCCCAGCTAACGTGTGTCCTCTGTCTCCTGTAGGTGCTGCTGTGGGTGCTCCTCTCTCTGCTGCCTCTAGTGGAAGGAGCTCAAATTAAAGCCGGTGCTGCTGGCGTGGGATCAGACTCGGGCCACACCGTGGGCCTGCTGGCAGGCCAGGAGGAGCGAGAGCTTCCTGTGACGCTGCCAGAGGTGGTGGAGGACGAGGAGCAGGAAGACGACAGCGACCCTTACTCTACTTGGCATGCTCTATATGGTACTGAAGCTCTTATGACAGTGTAATTTACAGCGCATCTGCTTCACCACAGAGTATTAGAGTGGGAAGAGGGCATGAGCCTGGGGATCTGCTTTGTGTCCCAGTCATTAAAATGTGTTTACAAGAGATTTACAGGGTGATAATTCATTTTAATTTAACAGTTAGATGTGAAATTATAGATTTTGAAGGAGAATTTGCTCATTAATGATCTAAATTTCCTGAATGAGTGTAAATTTTCATTGTAACTCTCTAACACTCCTCTTTTCTCTCTGTTTCAGACCCCTTTGTAATAGATGAGGTGGACGACCATCCCAGTAGTCGCTGGGCGGGGCGCTCCCCACGCTCCTCTGACCCTTCAGAACTTCAACCCAAAGGATCACCAAAGAAAAAGAAGAAGAGGAAGAAAGAAAGGGAGGAAGAGGAAGAGACGGGGAGAGCAGATAGGAAGGGTAAAGGTAAGAGCAGGCAGACGAAGCAGAGCAGCAGGGACTGTCGTGTGGAGAAGAGGGAGATGAAAGTTCGGGACCTGGGACTGGGGTTCGACTCGGATGAGATTGTCCTCTTCAAGTTTTGCGTGGGCTCCTGCCAGTCTTCCAGAACGAACTACGACCTGGCACTGAAGGCGCTGCTGGAAAACGGCTCGCTGCCCCGGCGTACCTCCCGCAAGGTCAGCAGCCACCCCTGCTGCCGGCCCGACCGGTACGAGCCGGTTTCCTTCATGGATGCTCAGACCACGTGGAGGACCATTCAGTCGTTGTCAGCCGCCAGCTGCATGTGTATGGGCTGAAGACACGAACGAGGGAGAAGGTGACAAGGAGGGGTCACCCAGCCTGAACAGAGAAGGTGAGGAAGGCAGGGAGGAGCCAGAGGGGGGCGCTGTCACACACTGAGAGCAAGGAAGTGAGGGTGGCCACTTGTTGAGGAGGAAGAGCTCCTCGTCTCCTCTCTCCTCCTTTCCTCCTGCCTTTGACAAGGAGATCAATCTAAGCCGCCATCATGAAGGATCTCTCAATTCCTAAAATGCATCTCGAGGACAGAACACGCTTGCCAGAGGAGCTGTGAGCAAGGAGGTGTGTCCTTGTCGCCTGTGATGCATAAAAGGCGGATGATGCAGCATATTTAATTACATCACTTTAAAATGGCGGCTCAGAAGCACGGATATCGTATTTTGTTAAATGCCTGTCACCTCGACTCCTCTCCCCTCATGTCTCTTCCTCGCCTCCTCCGCTCACGTCTCAGGTGGGAGGGACTAAGACGCGAGGAGAGGAGGCGAGGATGTACAAACTGAGAAATGAGAAGAGGGGTGGGTGCAGCTGGACGACTGAGGTCAAAGGTCATGATGGGTGACTGAGGGGGAAGTCAACAGAGAATCACAGTCTGGATTTATTGTTGCGTCTTCAAAGAGTGAATCGTCTCCAGACCAGTTCATACACATCAAACTGTTGTGAGATTATACGGGCGACACCTGAAGGCTGAAGCTCAAGAGACATAAAGAAAAGACACAATTAAAGGACTGACACTGTTTATACTCTGACTAAAAAAAGACAAAGACTGATATGATGTTCACTATCACTCACAGTGAAGCCCCAAAAAGCTAAATCATTTTCTTTCACATAAAAACAGGGACATTACATCGTATGGTTTCTATGTTCAGGTGAACTCAGCCAAATGGATGCCATGCATCTTCATGTATTACTGTATAAAAGTAACATATATTTATTTCTGATAAATTATTTATTTATTATAGCTTCATATGAGAGCTGTTTTTATTAACTCTATATTGTAGATAAATATCTATTTATTGCCGAGATTCAGATTTCATGTCGACAGTTACTTCTTACATACCTTTTTGTTTTCTTTTAAAGGTGCTTATTTAACTTTATCAAACACCTCATAAACTTGGTTTGGACAGTTAATTCTGGGCAGAATATGATTGGATAACAGGAAACATTTCTGGGCCATTCTGCTGAATCAGTGCCTTTTCAATCCCCAGGTGATGACATGTATGAATCTTCATGAGAAATATCTGTCAAACACATTATATTATCAAGTAAAGTGTCCTAATTGCACAATGACGGTTGCTCTTGCTCAGCTTTGCAATTTATTAGTTACACTAACGTTTCAGTGCTCCTGGACCTTCGTCAAGAGTGTTCATCACCATGGAAACCTTGATAAAACCACCTAGGAATAACAGGACTGTAGCCCGTCCCAGCTCTCGAACACTTCACTGTGAAATTTAACAACTTTTTTTTGTATTATTGTGACTCTATTGTTTCCAATTTAGACACAAAATACATTTTTCTTCTCAGAAATTCCCAGTGAGTTAGTTAAAATACAGATTTTAGTAGAGTCCCAGGGTTTTCACTCGGTCCTGTTATCCTGACCCCCCCCCTTTAAAATTTGATACATCACAAAGTCACATGATCAACAGGAAGTAGTATCATTTGAGTCTCCTGAAGGACATGGGAAGAGCAACCTGTATTTTTTATGACTAAGAACGTCAATCTCAATCCTGTTACCTCACTTATTTCTTAGGTTTTACTCTTTTTTGTTTTGTTTTCCATAGATAGTTTTTGGGTGACACGGTGGTGCAGTGGTTAGCATTGTCGCCCCACAGCAAGAGTGTTCCTGGTTAGAAGCCTCCTGTGTGGAGTTTGCATGTTCTCCCTGGGTCAGTGTGGGTTTTCTCAAGGTACTCCAGCTTCCTCCCACAGTCCAAAGACATGCAGGTTAATTGGTGACTCTAAATTGTCCATAGGTGTGAATGTGAGTGTGAATGGTTGTCTGTCTCTATGTGTCAGCCCTGCGATAGTCTGGTGACCTGTCCAGGATGTATCCTGCATCTCACCCAATGTCAGCTGGGATAGGCTCCAGCCCCCCTGCGACCCCCAACAGGAAAAACGGTTACAGACAATGAAGGAATGAATAGTTTTGGTAAACCATTACATGCTATTAGCATTGCTATCATGTGGCTACATTTCATGTGTTTGCTAAAGCTATGCTCAAAAATCAGTCCTGTTACTTTCCTGTTATATGAGCCATCTTCCATTGAAAAACCTGGTGAGACAATAAATAAAAAGGCCTGAGATTAACTTTTAAATGTTTTAAATAGCCAAACGTGTGTGTTATTAGATACAGCGCTGAAGAAAGGAAACAAAACAATGTTTTAAGTATATGGCACCGATTCAGCAGAATGTCCCGTCTCAAATTAACTGAGTGATTCTAAAAAACAAAAGCTCTGATCCTCTCTTACATTTTAACCCAGGCAGACAAAAAAATCCTATCAATAGATACCAGAAAAGAATTGACCTACATTAAAAAATGATGATGTGGTAAACTCAGTGAATTTTTTTTCTGGAGAGCACCTCACACAACAGTTTCAGTGTCCAGAATGTGTGTACAGCAAACAAGTCAAACCTTTATGATACAGAACCTCAACATTTCTCATCTTAAAGCAGTGATTTCCATTCAGTTACACACTCCCAGTATATTATTGTTATTATTATTATTATTATTATTATAAAATTTTCTTTATTTTTGTATGGCATTATCCTCCGAGGGAATAAAGTTTTTTAATATACATCTTGTATCACTGTTACTTTGCTTTGAAAATGACTTTCCCCCAAGTGACCTTTATAATGATTTCTACTGTGAGCAGCATCAACACCACCACCCTCCTTTCCCAGTTCACTTCAAACAGGACTTTTGATGTTGCAGCGCCACCTGCTGGTGTAAAATAACCAGAATATGAACCTGTTGTCCCCAGTTTGAACTGAGAGCAGCTTCGCTCTCCTGCCACCTGTCTGCTCAGCACAGAATCTTTAAAGATCATTTCTTGTTCTTCAAAGCAGCAGCAAACACCACAGATCAGTCAGCTCACAGCAACAGTATTTTTTATTTTCTTTCCTTCAGTCTTTTTTAAAAACATGTTCACATTGGCAGTTATAAAAACATTATATGCAAATGTACAATACAAAACAAGATGTACAAGGTTCAGAAGGTCGACACTCAGTTCCCCTGCATCATGCAACACAGGCACAGTAAATTAGCAGCATGTGGATAAAAAAACATTAAATCAAATGTAACAACACATAAAGAACAAACATGTTAATGGCACATATGGATTCATACAGTGTATCAAACTCTTAGAGTGTCACAACTTTGATTTGTACCCACAGGGTATGACTGTATTCTGTTCCATGGTTGGAAACTTTCACATTCGTCTGTGCACTTTTTAGCTGAAGTCTTATCACATCAGACAGCAAATCAGATTCAACTAAAACTGTAGCTATTGGTCAAATTAATGGGTCTTCAACAGAGGGTCCACGACCTTTAGGGAGTCCTCAGAGTTACTGCAGAGGGGGATCTATCGACTTACTGTTTGATACGTTTTTTGAAGGCATTTTGTTTTAAATAAAAAAATTAAATATGTATGAAAATACACATTACAATGAGTCCAGGGCCTATTCATAAAAAACAACCCCATCTGTTTCCAGTATACGACACTGATGATGAGCTAACTGTTACCCATGACTCCTCCTGCAGCTACTTCACCTACACTAAATCACAGCACATTAAAACATGATGTATAAATATATTCATCTGTCAGTAGTTATGATTTTAACAGCTTAGTATTGCACTCACAATTAAAGGGTATCTCTACACAGTTAAGCCTGCCCTACATGTTATTTTAGGCCCAGTTTAATATGCAGTTCAATTTTATCCAAGTAGTGCAAGGTCCCTGCTCCGTCTCTCTTTCAGCTGAGGGGCCCTTGGCCTAAAAAACACTTAAGAGCCCTGTCGGTGAAGATGGTGCTTCAGCTCTGAACTGAAGAAGCCTCTCAGTTTAGAGGTGAAACATCTTCAAGAAACTCAAGCAAGTCCAGTTGCCTACAATATAGCGCTTAAGACTGAAGACCACTGGTCTGATTCAAATCAAAGGACACACTGGAACAAAAACAAGTTCATCAGTTTTTGTACCAGCACCCACAACGACCCCCCAAAAATGACCCCCTGTGACACCCGTTCACTGCACACACATGCTTATAGATATAACTGTAGGATGCTGGGACTGTGTTTTTCTAGACCTCAGACATATTGATATGAAGAAGAAGTTGAAAATGCCCTGTAGCCTAACTGTAGCGCAGACCCTCAGGTGGATCCCTTAACAGGTAAAACCTAAATTACATGTAGACATGTTAATGCAGCAGATGCATGACCCAGTGCTGATGTTGAGATGAGTTCAGTCACAGTTAGTAAGTGCTGTTTCAAGTGTTTCATTAATTTAAGGTGATTTGGCTCTTTGGTGGCTGAAACCATCACAAGTGTCTCACAGTTGAATTAAAAAGTAGCAGTTTGACACATTTATATAAACTACTGATGGCAGTTAAATGTTCATCAAAGACATTTCGCTGACTGGCACGAGCTCGGTGTACTAAACGTGCACGTGACAATGTCCACTTTCCTAACGTGCGCAGAGAGCAGCGGCGTCGCGCTGCGTCCTGGAGACGATTTGGCCGCCACCTCCTGTTTGGATCCGGCTGCTTCTTCCTCCTCACAGCCGAGGATCGCGGTGGACTCCACGCTGAACGGGTGGAAGTTGACCCGCGCGGTGTCGTACTCCCACGCTTGCCTCATTGCGAAGTCTGTAAAGGGTTTATTCTTCATGGACACCTGGTTTTCAACATCGCTTCTGAAGCCGGCTGTGCGTAATGACGCGTAGCTGGTGTCATTGCTGTTTAAAGACGGAGGGGAGTGTTGACCTCCTACCGAGCCAGTGTTGTCACCACGGCCGTCCTTAACAAGAGCAGCTGTCCTCTTCAGCCGCTCGCAGCCCTTTAGCAGCAGGTTCTTCCGGCACAAAATGTACACCCAGGGGTCCAGTATGGGGTTGAATGAGGCGAAGCGGATCGCCAGCAGGTCACTGCGGTAGTCAGGTTTCCCTCCGGCAGAGATATACTCAGGGTCGTAAATCTGGTTCACAAAGATTCGCACCTGTCAGGGAGAAACACGGACACAGAATGTTTCAGAAAAATGTTTTTATAATAAGAAAGCACTAACTAAATGAACTTGGCACGCGCCGTGCGTAAAGATTGTAATTAACAGGTGTTTAAACCACGTGTTGTGCTTACCACTAAAGGGATGGAGCAGACCAGGAAAACGATGGTCATGAAGATCATCAGCCAGAACATTTGGATCTCCGCCGCTGAGGTGACCGACGGCAGCCGGGGGAACCGGCGCCGTGATCCTCCCTGCTCACACAGCTCCGTCCTGACTATCCCTGTCCTCTTGTTCATCCCCACCAGCGACCTACACACCGCCAGGTTACACAACACCGTCACTGCGATCAGCACCAGCATCACGCCGCCGTACAGGAAGGAGTAGCAGGCTCCGAGTGGATCCATCGCCCTCCAGTCCAGAAAGCACCAAGTACCGGGGAAGTGCCTGATGTGCTTCCCGAAGCCAAAACTGGGCATAATGCACAGCACGATGTTCGCTAGATATGTGACCAGGAGCGCAAAGCGCGCCATTGTCCGGTCTATGTGCTGGGAGTAGAAATACGCATGGTTTATGGCCAAGTATCGCTCCACAGCCATGGCGCACAGGATGGACATCCCTGCTGAGCCGAAGAAGAGCATGGAGAAGGAGAAGAAGTGGCAGAGCAGCACTCCTCCTGGCCACCGGTTGGCCACATATGTGGCGATCACCACCGGGCTGGTGAAGCACGTTCCCAACAGATCCGTGATGGCCATCCCGCACACCAGAGTGTAGAAAGTGGTTTCCTTCTGCTCCTTCTTGGAGATGCACAGCACGACAATGGCGATCAAGTTCCCCAGGACTCCCACTGCGAACATGGTGGCTGAAGTGACCAGAGACGTGGACTCGAGCCGGAGCGCAGGGAACGCACTTTGGTTGTGGCTGAGAGAGAGAGGCGGCAGCGGCTCAGAAACATTAGTGACCAGTTCTCCAAACGCAACAGTGTCGTTGATCATTATTAAAACCAGTGATGTGCAAGAGTTAAAGTGCAAGAACTTTCTGCGATGTTTAGAAAACTTAAAATAAATGATCACTAACTGCACAGTTACATCATGAAATACCCTGTTTCTAACAGAGCATAAACACTCAAGTGATTCCTCTGTTCAGTTTCCAGCAGTGTTTGTTTCCCGATGCGCTCACACCAAGGTGTGCCTGGTCCTGTTTACAAGGCACAGTGCTGCGGGTATTTAAGCCATGTGCTGATGTCAGTGGAGTGACGTGCGGGCTGTGAGCGCAGCGACCCAGGTTTCCCAGGATCACATTTCTGCAGCCGAGGAATCAATATTCAATTCTTTTCTATGCTCGCCATTCATCAGCGACAGAGGGAAAATGCCAGCAGCATTAATGCGCTAAACACAGGAGCCAAATACACCAGATATCATGTAGCACAACAATATACTTTGTCAAAATTAAACTATATTTTCTGCGTAAATTTGCTCACAATATAAACCACAAGATATATTCTGGATAGGCTAAATATGGAGGGTCCCCATGTTAAGGTAATGCAATATGCCGTGATGATCGTGAGAATACACTTTAACTACCCATGATTCAGTTGGCTGGACAGGTTAGAAAAATCAATGTAGTCTGTTCATGTCCATACAGGAATAGAAATAAAGAGACAATTCATGTTATGGATCCAAGTTTCAGCACC